TCCTAGGAATTTTCTACGCTATTTAACGCCGCGGAATCCGAAACGTCAAGACAATAAACCTCTTGTTCCAGTGGTCGCTTCTTCTTCTTCTTCTTCTTCAACTTCTTCTTCTTCTTCTGAATTCCATTTAAATGTATTAGTCACTGCCGGGCATGTCCGCACGTGGGTTTACGAAATATATTACTCCTTTGACCTCCCAATGGGCCAAATAAAGCGAAAATGTAGTTGTCTTAGTCCAACATAACTCAAGCAATGTATAAACGAAAGAAAAATCTAGCAATTCTAATGAAAAGATGTTGGAATGCATACTCGAAATTTCGGTTGTTCGGTAACAGCCATACATTACATTGCACATAATTTGGAAGCATATGTATCCGAAACTTTTACAAAAGGGTTATTTGTAGCGTAATTTTACTTGTGCTGCTTTATTCCCTCGGTAGCTTTGCGTGAACACGCTTCGTCTACATGCAAAACTTAAGTTTACCGAGTACGCCCGATTTCCACCTTTTCGGAATTTTCCACTTTGCTAAAAAGCTGGTATTTCTATAAAACTTTATATTCCTTCATATAACACAATATGGCCTGTTGTGAAGGACGACCATTAATTTATTGCTATAAGACTTTGGGGGTCGCAGCTTGGGCTGCGTTTGAATAACAGTGAGTTACTTGTAGAAACCCTTGGATTTCATGATTTAGGTAACCTACTGTACGTGGTCGCAACCCACAGGACAAAGAGTATGTGGCTCAATAGTTAGGGCGTGGGAATACTAAACAATATGTTGCAGGTTCGAGCCTCATGAGTTTCAACACTTGGGTTGGGTTATGACTAGCTGATGAGGGCTAATAGGCCAGAAACGGCCACATCAGTTCCCCCTGTCTTTGTCACTTTGCTTATGTCATTAGGCACTGGGCGGCTGCTAGCGAGACTAGAAATGGAGCCCTGAGGCACAACGGGATGGGTTTATTTCGTGACACAGTCGGTATACACCATATCGCTAACTTGATTTACATTGTTCTAGTATTTTTGCTGTTGCTTATTAAGTTTGCTGCAGATATATCTTACGATTAAAACGGCTATTCCTTAAGTCTTCCGGTTTTGAGCATTGCACAAGAACACTAGTTAGTCTTTTTCCCAACATCTTCGGCTTTGAATTTCTCCTGATTGATTTTATACGGAAAATAACAGTAACAAACATAATGAGACAACAGTCCAAGGTTTCATCTACATGTTTTTCAATTAGTACTTCGTGATCCGGTCTGAAGCCCCGTATGACTTTCTAAAGTCTTAGTAGATGTTATCAGCAGTTGGCGCAAGACCTCCTCAAACATCGACCCGTGTCTGTAAGTATACCTGTAAATAGATGAAATTATTCGGAAGCGCTGAACATGCTGTAAAATCTCATTTTTATTCAAACATTGATGAACTCACTAAAAAGTGGGTATTCAATCAGCACAAAGACGTTTTTTATCATTGTTTAAATAAATAAATACAACAAGGCAATTGTGCAACCGAAGGAAAATTAACCAAATAATGCCTTTATAATAATGATGTTTGCGACGGGAATGTGTTTTTGGGCGTTATTATTTAAGAAGAGGATATGCTAGTCTAACTCA